GTCGTCGATGACTCTGTGTTTGTTTCGTCTGCTGGAAGCGGCGGGCGGAGAGATCGTGATCGACGAGGTGAAGATCTCAGAGATCGGCCTTCATGACCTGCGATCCAAACTCACCATCATCCCTCAGGTCTGGTGCCAGCGCATCTGTTTTCATTTAAGCGCAGCTGTTTATTGCGATATTCATGATGGGTCAGCAGAAAAAGCTCATTTCCCCATTCAGAGCCATAAAGCAGTGGATTGTGCTGGCGGTGGATGAAGCCAGTGCTGATAATGAGCCTGCGCAGCTAATGGCCTGCTCGTTTGTGTCCAGATTATTAACGTTGCGCTTTTCTCCTGTTGTTTGTTTTCTCGGCTTTCTCTAGTAAAACCTGTTCTTAACCTCATTTCACCTTTTGATACTGAAACGCTGCCGTGGGACTTCATGTTTTGTGCTCAGCAGAGCGGCGTTCAGCGTTCACAACTCAAACATGAAGCAAATTCAGATTCAAAAATGAAAAGCAATGAATCTTTACAGGAATAGAAATTTTAATAGAATAAATATTTTTTATGTTTACTTGTGTATATAAAATATTTTTCGTTTTTTTAGTAATAATAAATATGTATATATATATATATATTATTACTAAAAAAACGAAAAATATTTTATATATATGTGTGTGTGTGTGTGTGTGTGTGTGTTTATATATATTATTAAAATTGTAATAATATAATTTTTATTAGATCTTTTATGTATATATATATATATATATAAATATATATATGGGCTGTGCAAAAATTAATTGCGATTAATCGCATCCAAAATAAAAGTCTGTGTTTACATAATATATTTGTGTGTGCTGTATATAATTATTTTGCATATATAAATACCTATGCATGCATGTATATATTTAAGAATTATTTGCGCTTAAATTCTGTATATATATATATATATAACTACATAATCTATATTATATAAATATAATATTTTATATATGAATAACACATTTTCTTAAATATATACATGCATGTGTGTGTATTTATATATACAAAATAATTACAGCACACACAAATATATTATGTAAACACAGACTTTTATTTTGGCTGCGATTAATCGCAATAAATTTTTGCACAGCCTTAATATATATGTATATGTATAATTTATTGCATGATACATTGTGAAAAAAAATGTAAATCCTTACTGTTTAATTTAAAAAATTTGTATAATATGTGTATGCATATATATATATACTCATATAATTATTAGGGCCCAAGCCCTGAAAGGGCGAAGGCCCTATTGTTTTCCTAACGATTATTATTAGGGCCCAAGCCCTGAAAGGGCGAAGGCCCTATTGTTTTCCTAAGAATTATTTTTCTTTAGTATTATTATTTTACTACCTTTTTGGCACTTTTGGAGCCCTTAACATGCTCAAAAACTCTTGAAACTTTGCACACGGGTCAGAACCCGCGGCCATCAGAGCCGGGCTGAAGCTGGTACCGTGCGTGCAGGGGGGCTCGTCAGCGCCCCTGGAACGGGGTCCGAACACTCGGTCCATAACTCAAACACGCTTGCATGTAATAATATGAAACTCGGTACACATGTTGATCTCATCGTTTCATCTATACCTCGCGCTCTTACTTTTACCCCAGCCCAACAGGAAGTCGGCTATTTGAGGTTTGTTTGTAAAACGCTCGCAATGGTATTTGAAATACTCCTCCTAGAGCTTGATCCAAATTCGACGAAACTCGGTCAGCGTGAAGTCAAGACATTGAGGATGAAAGTTTGCGAGGGGATTTTTGATATCTCGAACGGTTTGTCCGTGGCGAGGAAATGAAATCATGGCGAGAAACGTGAAACAGGAAGTGTGTTAAAACTTCAGCATACATTAACTGATCTTGATGAAACTTCAGCAGTGTGTTCGCTGTAAGAGGACGATCACATGGATGTGACTATTGTGAGTCAAAGTTTATAGCGCCACCAACTGGCAGCAGGAAGTGTGTCACTTTCAAAATGCTTTGAAATCACCCTTTTATTTTTACCCGATTTGCTTCAAACTTCATCTGTATAATGTAAACATAGGGCAGATGTAGACCTGTGAATGGATTCTTGATATCTTTGAAAACTGTTGCCGTGGCGACGCATCAAACTTTACCATTCTTTTAGGATGCTTTTGAGACCCTTAGCATGCTTTAAATTGCATGAAACTCGACAGACACATCACATTTATTAGCCAGTAGACATGTGCAAAGTTGCAGAAACGGGCGTGGTGAGGGCTCAGTAGCGCCACCTTTTGACAAAAGTGGGGTTGTTAGTTTTATCTTCAGTTACAAAATCGGTATGTATATTGTACTCCTCGAGCGGACAACTTTCTAAATTGACACTCATTAGCTAGGACCCACAGAAAGTCAGATATGTTTGTTTGAATGTAGAGAAAATCTCAGAATTTTTGCCAGTGTCTCAGTGTCCCTCTGTGTGAGTGAGAGGAGGGGCGCCTGTCAGGTTAATTTTAACCCTTTATTTGCTGTGTGCGACTTCTCTGGCATTTTCGGGGCCTTAACATCCTCGAAAACTCTTGAAACTTTTGCACACGGGTCAGAACCCATGGCCATCAGGGCCGGGCTGAAAGCTGGTAACTGGGCGTGGCAGGGCGGCTCGACAGCGCCCCCTGGACTGGGATTTGAACATTTGACCATAAATCAAACACACTTGCATGAATTAATATGAAACTCGGTACAATTATAGATCACATCAGGCCAAACAACTTTCGTGCTCTAAGTTTTATGACAGTTCAAATGGAAGTTATTTATGAATTATGAATTATGGGTTGTTTGAATAATGTCCTAGGAGAAATACATCAAATCACAATGCATGTGTTTACCATCACAACCAAACTCGGTGTGCATGAAGTCAAGACATTGAGGATGCTCAATTCCGGACGGATTTTTGATATCTCGAACGGTCTGGCCGTGGCGAGGAAATGAATTTTATGACTAAAAAGGACACATAAAGTGTGTTATAACTTTGCTCAATTTACCTACAGTTACAAAACTTACCACGTATATTGTTCTCGTCAAGCCGATCAACTTTCCAATTTAAAGTCATTCGCTCTGAGCAACAGAACGTCAGATATTGTAGTTTGAATGGATTTATTTCCCCTGCGATTCTCTCTCTCTCTCTCTCTCTCTCTCTCTCTCTCTCTCTCTCTCTCTCTCTCTCTCTCTCTCTCTCGGTGTGTGTGGGTGTGGGTGTAGGTGTGTGTGTCTGTGTGGGGAGGGGAGGGCTGTTGTCTGTGTATGTGTGTGTGTGTGGCTGGCTGTGAT